GCTCAGAGGCGGCCCTTCCCCGCTCTCACGGCCAAAATAATCAGAGAGATGGCGTTTTTGCAGCCGCCACCGGACTGCCCGCCCTCCAGAGCGGCGCCTCCGCAGGGGCCCCCTCATGGTACCTGCGCCATGGAATCACGGAGTCGTTTAGGTTGGGAAAGACCCTTAAGATCCCCGAGTCCAGCCGTTACCCCAGCACCGCCAAGCCCACCGCTGACCCACATCACCAAGCGCGGCGTCTGCCCGTCTGTTAAACACCTCCCGGGAGGGGGACCCCGCCGCCCCCCCGGGCAGCCCCTTCCAGGGCCCAACAACCCTTCCCGTGATGAATTTTTTCCAGATACCCAATCTAAACCTCCCCCGGTGCAACTCGAGGCCGCTTACTCTCATCCTATAAACGAGCATCCACTACTTCTAGAGTAAGGTACCAGCTCCTCCGGAAGAGAGTGTCTTAGCAGAATACTCAAAGAGAATATTCGAGAATTTCCTCACTCAGGAGAATTTTTTTACTTTTTTCCTGGGGCTTAAGGGAGAGGGAGAAAGTATTTCTGGGGCTCTTAAGGCTCCTGCGCCTTTTCTCTGTCCATGTTTATAGCTGAAAGTGGTCCAAGCACTGGCCGTCACTGTGGTATTTGAGACCTATTTCATCTATTGAACCGCTGCCGCTGTCATTTCAACTCAGTTTTCAAAAAATAAAAAAAGCATCGGCAAGCAGAGAAATGGCTAAATGAACAAAGAGCCTTTATTCATCCCAACGGCCTCAGTACTAAAAATGTGAGAGGGGGAAAAAAAGCAGACCCTATCTGAGACGGGATGGGAAAGTATTTCTTGCCAGAGTGCGTTTCAAAGCTGGTTTGCAGTCATCATCAGCAAATCTATGACAACATCTGGGCTGAAAGAGCAGAAGGACACATCAAAGCAGCCCCAGTAGATACGGAGAGTTTCAGCAAAGGAGGTTATCCAGGGTAAATGGTGCTGGGCAATTTATTAGACATTGTTTTTAATAAGACGGCCACGGCCACGTCTAGCACTTCCAGCCACAGCATTGTACCCCTGAATTAGAAAGGACAGACAGCTGCGTTCACTCAAACGAGTGAGGATAAGAGGGGCTGGGAGCAGGTTTTACAGAGTCCAGCATTGTCTGCCTAAATCCCCCTCTGCCTTTGAAACCTTGCCTCCTTTGCTTCCCAGGTTTGGGTCTCTGATCTCCAGACTGTTTGCAATGCCTGCGAGCTGGAGGTGGCGAGCTGCTCGGCTGGTTGCTAATGAAGCATGCTGTGGAGTCTACCACACGGCAGGAGGATTTCATAAGCTTGGCACCTGTTCCAGATGAATGGAGTTGATGGCATGGGCTGGAAATGTGTCTATCTTCAGCCCAGCTTGAAATGTCTGAGGATTATCTCTATAAATCACAGATTCTCACAAGCGCAGTGAGCAAAGCTCAGCTGGGTCCAGGTGTCCTGCAGATTTAGAGTAAATCTCTGCTTTCGGGCCATGTATTTGCTGCCATGTGCACCAGCCAAGGCCAGTAGTCCTTCTGAGGAGCCAGTCGCCATTGCTGTGTAAAGAATCGGGGAAGCAGAATTCAGGTCTTTTAAAACTGCAGAAAAAGCTTTTATTCATAAACAGGGAATAAGGCTTGTTCTAGGGGGATTGCAGAAGGTTCCCAAAGAGCTCTCACAGACACCTGGTTGAGCTGCGACAGGTATAAACTATACTAAACTGAATTAATTTGTCAGGTATAGCAGATGCATCTGTCCTTCCCTTTCTTTGTATCTTTTTCCGTAACCTCACCAAATCACTGCCTGATTCAAGCTGAAATCTTCCAGACTATTTGATTAAAAAAAATGGTGGTTTTTTTCTTTTTTCCTCTGGTTTAATTTGAACCAAGGCCCCCAAGAAATTGTTTCACTTATATTGAAAAATCACATTTTGCCTCTGAAGTACGCAGGGATAGATTAATTTCATTCACTTTCAGAGCTGAAGAGTGGCTGGTAAGCCTTGTCTGGCATGCCCCATCAGCCAGAGCTTACAGCACTCATTTGGACAGACTTGTGGAGATCCCAGTGGGCTGAGCAGAGATTTTAAGTAAGATTTTAAGTAAGATGCAACATGCCTGGGAAGAGCATCCTTACTCCCGAGCTGTGGCAGGTTTGGGGGAATTCTTTCCTTGTTGTAGAGTTCATGTTGTATCAGGTATTTCCACAATTAATTGGAGCAAGAACAATGACACTCTGAGTTGTTAAATATTTTAAATAATTAAGTTGCTTAGAAAATTAATGTCTCATTTGGGTGATTCTGTTAGTCATCTGTTAATCACTTTGATTGCAAAGAAGTCTGTCTTGCTGATGTGAGACTATGGTATGGATACCTTCCGCAGAACTGAGGATCTTCATCTGGAAACAGAGTCACCCCGGTCCCAGTATACAATCAGTAGAAAGACCACCTTAGCAACCCTTGCCAGGAGCCTAGGGCAACTGTACACCTAATTTGGGTGCTTAAAATTAGCTGTGGAGAAATTCAGACCTTGCAAGACATTGGCACTTTGCTCAGGCTCATGGTCCTGCGCTGTGATCTGCTGTCACTCCGATGCTGAGAAAACGATGCGGTATCCAAATATGCTGCAGTAGGGTCACAGCCTCACGCACAAGTGTCGTGAGACCTCTATGCACAGGTCCTTCCTGCTAAACACACTCAAAACCGTTGCATGTTAGAAGGCGGCAAGATAATTACTGAGAAGTTGATTGTGCCTTAAAGCCATTTGCAGAATGAGTTACTGGAGTTTTAATTCTTCAGCCATTCAATAAAGCCCTTCAGCTGCTGTGTGTGCCCCAGGAAGGGAGCCTCCCAACACTGAAGAATAACTGGCAAAGGTTTGGAGGTTTCTATGGAGCAGGACCAAGAAGTTTGAACCGAATTCTCAGCAAAAGGAGTCAAACTGAGTCTCTTGACTGTGCTAAATAGGAATCTTTCTTGTTCGGTGAGACTTCTGGGTCCACTGCTCTTTGTTGCAACCAAGGAAGGATGCCTGGAGGAGAAGGAGAGAAAAGCTACCCAAATTTTTTTGCAAAACACAAGCAATGGTTCTTTTCTGACCTGAGTTTGGGCTAAAGTGGGTTTGCGTAGGCTGATTGACACCGCGGGGATGTATGCTCCAGGGGCACCAGGAGGAGACACGGGCAGCGGGTGCCCATCCGATCACACTGCCCAGCAGGACCAGCAGAGCCACCAGCCTGTGGCCATGCACTCAGTGGGGCTGAGTTACCCCACCACTAATGGCCCATTCAGACGTGGGAGGCCTCCTCTCTTCCTGGCTTGTCCTCCTGCCTCACAGCGATTCCCACACCCCGCTGGCATCTGCCGACCCATCACCTCCTGCCCGGGGGCCCTCACCAGCCCCCAGCCCCTTCCTTGGGAAGCCAGGTGCTCGTGGCGGCCGTGCCTCTCATTCTTGCTGAGCCTCCCCTGCTCTCTGTTTTCCTTGGTGAGCGCTGCTCACATCTCCATGATTGATTGTGTTTGAGTTTGATCGTGGAGTGTCCTGGGATGTTTGCATGAGAGGTGCTACATAAGCATAATTTGTGCTGTATTTTCTTTGCCTAATAGGAGCTTAAGCTTGGAGTTTAAGATAGTTTTGGCCCTTTGCTGAGACACTGTCCATCAAATTCAGTGCTTTCAACTCCACAGCTTTCTCTATTCACTGTCAGCTTAACAAAAACCAACAAAAAAATTGCGCTTTGTTCCCTTGTGTCAGTGATGCCTTTGAAACGCAGCCTGGGGCAGAGGTGTAGCAGCCTTCCCCTCGCACTGGCCTAGATCTTTGCTGCCCATCCCCAGTGAGGAGGGATGCTTTTCCTAGGAGCCTGGGCCTCCTCGTTGGTCTGGGCAGAACCAAGGTTAAGTCTCGCTCCTGTGAGCAGATGCTGCGTTATTTACACCAGAGATGCTGAGTTGAGAGACAGAAGGGAGAATATGGTAACTCACCACTGTGTGGCTGCCCAAACAAATGGGAAAGGTCTTTCCCAGTCCGAAACCCCAAGAATTTTGGAAAAAAGTGTGGAAATGAACACAGAAGGAGAATATGGTAACTCACCACCTGTGTGGCTGCCCAAACAAATGGGAAAGGTCTTTCCCAGTCCGAAACCCCAAGAATTTTGGAAAAAAGTGTGGAAATGAACCCCAGTGAATTTGTACAGACTGAACCATCACTGGACCCCTCATGAAAACCTCTGCAGGTCACACATTTCCCCTCCATGAATAGGAAGGGTATGATCTGAGCTGCAGGGAATTTTCAGCATATTTGGTGGTTATATCCAAAGATC